TTAAGTAAAGAGCAGGCCGATCCGGTGTCAACAAGAAATGTCACCCGCGTGTCAGCAACCAGTGCACCAAGCATAGGAGCAGCAAACTCAGAAATGGATGTAACAGTTGGCACGGGGAGAGACCCACTTCAAATTTTGGATACCGGAGCCCGACTTCCCCGGGGTGGGCGGGTGAAATTGCGATAGGTCTGCGTTGCCACTGACCGAATCGCTGCCGAGCGAGTCTCTTTGCGCTGGAGGAGTGATGTTGCGAAGCAAGGTGTGGTTAGCGATGGGCCATAACGGCCCTCGTAGTCCTGGACCAGAGACAAAAGTTGATCCGAGGCCAGGGCTTGCTTCTTGATCAACTTTCGCCGTAGGTGGTCGTCCGGAATACCAGCGCAGCAATGCGCGGCCAGAACTGCGTCCGCCTCGACAAATGGGCAGCCCGGGAATGCAGCGAAGACTAGAAGGCGAGGGCAGCCCAAACGATCCCGCGCAATCTTCCCAGGAAGCTGCAGGCGAGCCGAAATCTGCCGATAGGCGTCAACAGGGGGTCTAGGGGGTCTCGACGATGCGGCGAAGGGACATTAAAAGTGAATCGACGTCCGTGTCGAACTTCACCCCAAACGAAGAAGCTTTCGTTAAGGCCTCCGTGGAGAAAAATGGCGACAAATATGTCGCGTACGATCTTTTGCTGCCACGGAGGGCAGATGAACCTTGGCTCGGGAAAGCCACAAGTCCAAATTTTCTCCCGGTTTAAGGAGAGGCAGTGTGGCCATGATGGATTGCCGTGCCTCCAAAGTCGACAGGAGAGTTTGACATAGCTCCGTCAAGCCAACGTTGGCAGGCAATTTGGTTGATGGTTATCCTTCATTTTCACCCGATATCTTGCAGAAACGCTGCCATCAGTCTCGTAATGCGCAAGCGGTCAAGCAGACAATCTCAGTGAGAATTCTTTTATGGAAGTAGTCACTTTATTGAGATTGGGAAGAACAGAAATAGCGAAGCACAAAAGGTGCGGGGTAGGGGCAAAAAGTCAGAACAGAGGAGCACCGGGTTAACCACAGCTCACGCCTCGGTCAAAACCGGAAGTGAGGCAGTTGCCCAATCAAGTCTCATCCTCGGTACCTTCGTCACCGATTGGCTCCTCGGTCTCTACAAGGACAGTCAGATAAGGGAGGGGGGTGATTGCAGGAAGTGAATGTTAAAATTGATTTCTATTACAACATCACATAGTGCCCATAACAGTGTGCAGTGCAAGTGCACCGCATTTTGTACATCATAAGCAGCATCGCTAAATAAATGGATAAAATGTCTTATGAATGGATGTTTCACCGTCTTAAAAATCTGATAATTAGAAGCTCTTTCTAAAACTTCAAGGTAACTTTCTTCAAGTATCAAATTTGAAGAAGACGTAGCCGGCCACCAGCTGGGTACAAGAAAGAATATGCTTATCTATGTTTTCTGTGAAACACATTTAAATTTACAAAGTTATCGATTGTCATTGGGGAAAATGCATACCCATTAAGTTGTCGTGTTTTACAGAGTGTTGTTTTTGCAGACGGCTGGAAGGACGCTCGCTCAGAAGATGGCATCCTCACGAGATTAAAATAGTTTGGGATTAGACCACCCAATATTATCTATTACAAGTATACTTAAGTAATTTTTTTTAATTGAAAACACATTTCACAATTTTGTTTGACGCTTCATGAGATGGACAATATATATTATAGATCCCAATCCCCGGCTACACGCCCAACGTTTGAGCACAGGCCAGTCAATCATTAAGATATGCTTTGTCCTCTGACTTGCGATTTCCTCTGTCGACTGAGGTCAGGCAGCCGGTATTTGCAAAGCATTCCTATTTGTCAACGTCGAGGTGGTAAACAAATCATATTCCATCGCTTCGGCAGATGGATCGCTGCATATGAGGACAGTGGGGCGAACTGAATTATCTGTGAGGTGATTAAAGCCAGAAGGAAAAAGGACACTGAAAGTTAGGTTGACAGGAGCTTCGACTGACTCGAACAATATAAATGCATTAGCGCTGTAGACTTTAAGGCAGACTAGTTAGACGCCGAGGTTGAGATTTTGTGTAATTGGCGCCCTCAAAACGGAGAGAGCGAGAATGGAATCCTACTCGACGTGACACACTGCTACCAAACAAGAAAGGTACAAAGCCGAGAACAGTGTTTTCTGCTAGAAAATTTCAAAGTGTTCTCATATAGTCCTACTGACTCATATAAATAGCATAGCTTCGTTCAAATGGATTAGCACACAATCCAGGTGGCTCATTTCGTAAATTGACTAAAGGCACTCCCAGCGTAAAGGAAGTTATTTTTAGAAGGACTTGGTTCCATAATCGGATTTCCGGAACGTATGCTTGATTGTTGGTTACAACCTTGGTTCCGAATAGCCAACTTTGAAAGTTTAAAAAAAGTCGGCTTGGATGAAACACTTTCTACCAAGCAACTAGCACATCTACAGTTAAGAGCCCCGTTACAGGAGTCGAATAAAAGTCTGATGCCCTATTGTAATAATCTCTAGTCGTGAATGTGTTTTGACCGTGGGGGCTTTCGATCTATGGATAAATTGGAGGGCTAAAGGTAGGTTGGAAACGGAAAGTGGTCGTGCCACATTCCCAAAGCTTTTGTATTTCAACCCTGCGCAAGAAAGGTGCGTTGCAAAAAAACCCGATGCATTTCCTACCTACATAACCAGCTCGACTCTCACAAATTAGGATGCCCACTGCAGGCCTCGCAGCTTTGCGGGCACAGACTAATGAATTGCGCGTGTTGTACTTTGTAGTGATGGTACATTTACGCAACACCCACCTCACTATCTCCCCCCCGAGCCTGGTAACAATACTGAGTCAGGACAATAGGGGACAAGGTCAGGGGCAGTGGTTGACAAAGGTAGGCAACCCGTCTACGCGTGTCACACACGTTCGGTAGGAGCATTATTGGCCAAGTTTTCACAGAAACAAAAGAACCGCGGTTTTGGCCCCAACTGAGTGGGAGAGCCATAGAGGCCGCATTAATAAGAAGCCATGGCAAAACTGATTTGTAGGGCCCCTCTAGATAGCTATCCCTCTCCTAACTGCCAAACGTATTTTGGGGTCAAACATTTAATTATTGGCTAGTGAGCGTAAATTAATATGTAATTGTGGCGGAAGTAATCAAAAAATATTAAGTTAAATAGGATTACGTTGGTTTTAATAGGCTTAAAGAGAATAAAATTCGATCGACACAAACTTCTGTTGCGCAGGTTACGAATGCTGATTGAGGTAAATTTGACCTTATGCGGGCGGAATTAAACGAAAATGGAAATTCGTCTCCCTATTGGTGGAATTTAACGAAAAAATTTTAAGTCAGGCTTTCGAACATTTAAATGTAGTTTTTTATTATAAGTCGACGGGATTTTTGGGGCCTCTAAAGTAAATCCTGTCGAAACCGTTACAGTCTGATTCTCCTTCCTGGGCAGGAAATCAGTTATCCCATCACTTGACAGTTTTCCATGCCAAAGCTTTTAGCGCACTGGAGAGAAGTGGGTCAGATGGTTAAGTATGAGGAATATGTTCGGAGTGCCATGGGGAAGCCGTTTCAAGAACCGACTTCGCTCTCTCACTCTCTCTTCCACGCCGGGTACCAGTCCACTATCAGAGCCAGTCAGCCATCTGATGCCGAGATCGCGCACAAGTAGCTGACATGTCATAGTCCCACCAAACATAGTAGGTTTTCACAAAAGGAAGTTTAACTGCTCGTATCTCACGCGCCTTATTGTACCATAGAGGCCACTTGACGGAGTCGAACAACACACTTCCCACATACAGTAAATTCGCCAACTCATTAAATCTGATGGATTTCGCAAGACAATTCTTGTTACGGAAAGTTGGCCCACGCTGCGTCTTACAGCAGTATAGGAATGATCGTTCACGAAATAAAGGCATAATGCAGTTTACGAATTAAT